TTATGGTCATTTCCACAAGTAATTACCCAAATTGCTCTTGCAATCAATGTAATTGTGCTAAGTTGTTTAAAAATCAGCTTCATTAGATTTTTGTCTGGTAAAATGTACAGTTTTTCAAAACCTAAATTTTGATCTTGTATTAGATGTCAACAGGCCTTCAAAAGCAAATAGGCTTTATTTTGTCTTCCTTCTTCCTTTCTCGCATGTTGGTGTGAGATTTTTTACATTCATTATAGAATAACCATAGTCAGGAAATTTACTATAACCTCTTGTAAAAAACTAATAAGTGTGTCTGCAAGTTATTGTATGGTTCTCTTTCATTTTCAAAACCCTAAGATCTCTAGTCTTTATGGTTCTGGAATTAAAAGAATATTTCAAAATGTGAATATTGAGTGTTTAGGTAATTCTACCCTGGGTCTGTGGTGGGCTGAAATAACAAACAGTCACACAATAAGCAGAGCTGTTCACTGACTCCTGCTGCACCCACACACCCACACTTTGGAGGAAGAGAGCAATGTGCCAGGAGCATGCTCCCTCCCAGCAGTTTCAATTGCATTCTGTCTAGGATATAATACACCACCACCTCTCCCTCTCTGACCCCACATCTCTCCCTGGCAATCCTCCTGCTGCTTTCATTTCCTTTCCAAATGGTTCCCCTTTACTCAGCCATTTACAAGGGGAGGCTGGAACTGCAGTAAGGTGTCCTCTATGTCCTTCACTGCAGCTAGGACTGTTTCATAGGATCTGCTCCTCCTGTTAGCGAGCATTTGGACTGGCATCATGAGCATCTGCTGCTCAGGAACTGTGAGAAGTTGGGCTTGTGCTCTGGAGAGAGAATGGTGCTGGGGTGAGAGGGAAGAGCAGCGCTGAGAGGAGGCTGAGGCTGCCCCAGCACAGCTCCAGTGATGCATCAGGAGGACGTTGCCCCTTCAGAGGTACTTTTAACCTCACTGGCATCCTCTGTGGTGGGAAAGCCAGCTCTGTGTCAGCTTAGCAGCCCTGGGTTACACCAGAGGTGGTAATTGTCAGAAGGGTACAGTAAATGCCATGCTGAGTGTGAACATCCACTGGTACTCCTCTGCAATCCTCCGTCTGGAGCATACTTAGTCACATCATGCTTTCTTTTGGAATAAAAGCTATTTGCTCATCAGTAGTAGTTACATGAGTCTCTCTTCTCTTTTATTTTAGCTAAAATAAATTTATTGTAACCCTAAGGACATACCGGGGTCACTATTTGTGAAGACAGATATGGAGAGAATTTCATTATATAGGACCTTGAATTTGGTATGGAACAGCAACTGGGCAGCAGGAAAGAGGCTGTAGTATGAAAGGGGCTTCTCCCTTCTTCCTCTGAGCTTCAGTGCTCAGAGGTGAGGGGACTATGAGGAGGCAGAGCCCAGGCAGGCCCTCAGAAGCCTGTGTGTGGAGGCAGGCTGAACCTCAGCACTCCAGCCTGCAGCAGTCACTTGGGTGCTAAGGCAGGATTGACCAAAGTCTTCTTCTGGAAAAAGTAAATTACAAGCCCTAAGCACAGGTTCAATACATTTTTCTCTTACCTGAAGATCTCTTATTTTCCATTCCTCTCTTTCATTGTAGAGGAGATTATGTCAGAGTCATCTGTAACAGCTGCACTGTGAAATACCTCAGTCACATGGCTTTAAACAACCCAGAGGGGAAAAAACCCCAAAACCCCAGTTCTTTAAATAAAGATACATGTATTCTTGTGACATTTACATACAATTGCAATTTTCAAGGGAACCAAACACTCATTACTACACAGTTCTTCAGAGGCCAAACCTGACCTTTAGTCAGAACAAATTCCCATTTGGCTAGGCTTATTCATACAGCCTACAGTTCTGTTTGAATTCTACATTGACTGAGAAAATTTCAAGCTGGACTGGAGAAGTAATTAGATTGAGAGTAGGACTATTTAAAAAGCCTGCATTGGCAGAGCAATGGGATAAGATCCTTAGCCTCAAAAGCTGAGGTTCTTATCCTACATGTACATTCCAGGGATCTAGATTTGGAGGACAGGTACTTTAGAATAGTGAATTGTAACTGTAGGGAGGAAGATGAAAAATTCTGCCTCCCCTGCTTCCAGAATTGTAGAAATCATATTTTCTCTGGTATACATTCACATAATGTCCCTGGGGCAGCATTACTTCTGTGGAATACCATTTCCCCCCTGCTTTTACTAGAAGCTAGCAGCTGGAAAACATGAGAAGCCAGCAACACAAGTCTGTGGGGACCACCAGGCAGCTCTCCATAGGTCACAGTAGGAAATTTCTAGGCAGATTGAAAATAATTGGTCTCACCATTGTTCTGTGCACTGACACTGAGACATCATCTTTAGTTTTGGCAGGAAAAATATTTAGTAAGTATTACATGTGCTAAGTTATGGTGGGTTTTTTTCTGAATTTTTCCTATTAATAGTTTAAAGGCAGGTACAAACAAGAGGCAAAAGAAAGTTCACAGCATGTAGTGTTTCAGCTGTACTGAAGTCTTGGCCTTTTGGATAAGATATTAGTAAGCATGATTACTCCACTGAAAAACAAGAAGGGACAGGAAAAACCTGCAAAACACCAAGAGAAAATAATCTCATTAAATTGGAAGGTACATAAGAGTTGGGAAAGTGAGAAAGCTGCAGAGAACTAGGAGTGCATGGCAGGGCTGTGCTCCAGCAAGCTCTGGCCAAGCCAGTTGGAAAAGCTCACCATATTTCCCAAAGGAAAGTAAAGGTCATCAACACTCTCCAACAAGCCTATCTGTGCATATGAAAGAAGGGAAGAAAGAGTTTTCTTCCATGTAACTATTTTTAAACTGCCTTTCATTTACCTGGCTATAGAGAATGACACTAGGATTAGATAAATGCCAATGATCAGTTTTATTTATTGGTAAAAAACTTCACCTATTGAAGCATTATAATGTGAAGATATCGATAGGCAGTAGGGATAAAGAAACTTTGAAAAGGAAAATGCCCAGAAGATATACCTAGGTGCTTCTCTGTAGCAATATGAGCACCAGTCAGTTTGGACACCCAAAGATTTGCCTAATTCCTGTTAAAACATTACACATGGTTTTCTTGTTGCCCTGCTACTTAATTCTATATGCAAACTATTGTGACTATTTCTGTGACATTGGTATATAAATACCTTATATTCTGCCAGTATCCATTTCAGTTTCAGGAAACTTAATATTTAGATATATTTGATTATTTTTCTTGCAATTAAACTAACTCAACAGGCTTAATTGCTCAACTTGATTAAGCTCAACTCTATTTGTGGCATAGAACTTCTCTATTTTCTCCAACATAGAACATACTTTAGTGAAGTTCCACTTGCCCTTAACTTCCCTTTTCTATAGATAACAGTCTATTTTCTCTGAGCATTCTGCTTAAATTGATTTCTCAACTGAATGCAGTGTTTTGCCGTCTTCCTCAGAATTCTGCAACACTGTTAAGATGGCCAGAACTGACAGCCTCATTGCTCTTATGTGTCCATGTGTAAAACAGAACACTAGATTTTGCAACAAAAATATATATTCAAATTACAGATTCACTGGCATCATGTCTTCATAGAGTGCTAAAACAATCTCCTACAGTCTATATTCAGTGTTTCTATTTATGAAACTTGTATTTTGCTTAGCAGTTAGACAAAAAGAAAGCAGGCCATCATGGGCACGGCGTTGAGAGGGTGTTAACTCTCTCCTCTCTGGACTTTTCCTAATTTATAAGTATTGGGGGTGATTCTATGAAAACATGAAAATGACAGCTCAGTATGGTGCAAAAACCTATGATCTTGTACTTTCTCATTCTACTTATTCTAACCCTCCCTTAGTCCTGACATACTTTAAGCCCACATGGGGCCCTCTCAATGGCTGTACAAGTTCTGTGGCTTGACCCTTACACATCTCTGGTACTGCTGAAGCACTAAATCAAGGTTTCCTATGGAATAAAGAGGAATAAAAACTACCAACTAGCTAGCCAACATCTCTGCACAAAAAAAAAAAATTCCTTGCCAAGAGGTTCCCTCACTGCTTCCCTCCAGTTGCCTGTTGTGATTTGGCTGATGGACTCCTCCAGCTGTGGAAAAACTGGTTTAAGGGTCTGAGAAATGGGGTAAGAGTCTATTTGCAAATTAAACTATGTAAACTATCATCACTGATTAATCATAGCACTTTGCTTTTAAGTATGAGCATTTATTATATCAAATAATTCTGTAAGAATCATCACCTAGATTTTCAGTAATGCTATGGAGGAAGGAAAAAAATAACATTTGATATCTTTTCTGATCTTTGGCTACTTTGAGGACAGAATTCATCTTACCTAACCTTAACTATTCAATGGTAAGGCTGAACCTAAGATCATAATCTGTGCTTTCTCTACACTGAAAGAAGAAAGGCAGATGAAGCCAGAATATGATTCATACAGCTTCTTCAGAGACTAGCTCACATGAGGCTACAGTATGTCACACAAAAATTACCTGCCTAAAATGTTTACACTAACCTATGTCTTCAGTATCACAATATAAACTGTTTAAGGATCTCCAGTCTCCAAAACACTATGGTACATCCTTCATGTCCTAATTGCAGGTGGTCAGGCTCCAAGTTTTGTCATACCATGGTAAGGAAAAAACTTTAAAAAATTAGTCTTCACATGTAACAGATTATATTAACTCAGTTTGTGAGACTTGTTTTTCCTTTTTTGTCAGGAAAACTTAAATAAGCAGCATCCCTCCAAACCTTTGATAACTATATGAAACTCACTTTTGGGATGGGGAGGTGTTTCACTCCTGTCAATTGCAAGCTAGAAAAATCTGAATGGTGACACTAGTTTCTAAATTCTAGCAGCACACAGAAAGAAATTTCACATGAGAAAGCAATCAAATCAGAGCAATTGGAAAATTGCAAGCAGTGAAAATATTGTCCCAATAAATGTCGAATCCTGAAAAAAGAAAAAAAATACAGAAAGCAAACAGGAGAAGGCAAAGAATCCAAAGATCTCATAAAAATAAATTTATTGTCATTTTGTCTTCCCCTTAAGCAGTGATAATGTTTCCATGTAACCAAGCAATACAGTTGTCACGACGCAGGTGTGGAATCAGAAGGAGTGTGTCATGAGATTGCTGCTGTCAAGCTGTAATTCAGCACCATGAAAAGGATTTCCACTGATGTCACTGCAGTATCTGTCCTCATGACTGAAGTAACCACCCCACTGAGCGCTGTCTCCAGGAGCAGGCAACACCAGAGGCTTCAGAGGAAGCACTCTCCTGTGAAGACTGAATACTTGTGTGGAGGTGCATCGTCCTCCCTGGCCAGTGGTCAGCAGAGTGCATCATTTGCCTGTTGCCTTCTTCAGCTCTGTACTTGCATGGATTTCTCATTGATCATAAACTCATCCAACCTTTTGGATATGTCAGCTAAGTACCTGGGTGCAATAATGAATTCCAGTCAGCAATAACTCCGGACTCTATATTTCATGGCCCAGACCTGACAGATAAGTAAGTGGTGAAATGGGATGACCTAAAGCCTAAAACATACAGCCTGGGCATGGCAGAGAGACTTCCACATAAACAGAGATCTCTGTTGCCTGTTACTGTTGCAGGGAATAATTTTGTACAAAATCCCATAACCTCAGTATTCTCTAGGGAAGTGAAGGGGGGAAAAAACATCACGCAGCAGTGGAAAGACTAGGATCACAAGACCTTGACCAGCTCAGGGTCAGCACTAATGCTGCAACAACACAGAGCACTTCACAGCCTGGGAGGCTGGTGAGCTGTTGTTCTTCACCAAGCTCCATGCTTGCACAGCCAGCTGGACCCAAGCAGAACTGGCTCAAATGCATCGACACCCCTTGCTTTACAGATAAAACCCCCAGCAACATCAGAGAGACTGCCCACTGAGCATTATGGATGTCCTTTTGTTGCTTCAAGCAGACACCTGGACTAGCTCAGTGGTTAAACTTCATCAAAACTTGAAACAAACAAACAAACAAACAAAAAAACCAAACAAACCACCAACAAAAAAACCACCAAAAAACAAAGAAACAAACCAAACAAAACAAACAAACAAACAAAACAACAAAAAACAAAAAACCCCAACAAAAACAACAACAAACTAAACAAGTTTCCATACCAAATGTCAATTCTAACCCTTTAGGGATAAAAGTGGGGCAGAAACACCTTCCATAAAGTGATGAATAGCACTGCAGTCTCCAGGGAGGACTCACTTCTGCAGGTTTTGTAGTAGAGTGCATCTGCAGTATGTGTAGGATTAGGAATGGTATCTGAAGCAGAAAATGATCTCCCAAAAGGCAGGTGAAACCCTAACCCTTCCTTCTAATCATCCAGACTTTGTGACTCATTACCCTTGGGTGAGAGGAAATCTCTGTCCGTATATCTTGGCCAGAATTGAGAGCAGGGGCACAGAGAGTGTAGTATAAGGTGTCATGTGTTTAGTTGATCTAATGCAAAAATAGAAAGGAATCAAGGGAAAAAACCCTGTGAAGACAAGCCAAGGGGGAAAAAAGGAAAAAAAGGAAGCAACACCAACACACAAGCACCTTCTGTAGAACTTGAGGCAGACGCAGTCCTCAGAGGAGCCAAATCCTCTGATTCCTGACTTGATTACTTTGGGACAGTAAGCAAACTCTAGAATGAAAATAAAAAGGCTTGTTCTGGTTCCAGGAATTAACAAGTATGGCCTCAAACATATGTTAGATATATTTTAAATAAATTTTGTTTTCTTTGAGGAGAGGCACAGCTGGCACACCATCCAATAGCTGCAGCACTCCTCTTGTAGCACGGCAGAGGTGAAGCCAGATGGAGTACCAGCTCCTGGGGACCTTGTTGGGCAGCAGGGAGAAGAAAACACATCACAGCATTTTCATCACTTCAACATCAATGCAAATGCACATAGAGACCTCCATGTAAGACCTTGAGGGGAAACCATATAAGGAGCAGCTGAGGTCACTTGCTCTGCTCAGGCTGGAGAAGAGGACACTGAGGGGAGACCTCACTGCAGATTCAACTTCCTTGTGAGGGGCAGACACTGATCTCATCTGTGTGGTCCCAGTGACAAGACTCAACAGAATGGCCTGAAACTGTGTCAGGGGAGGTTTAGGTTGGATATTATAGAAAGGCTCTTCACCCAGAGGGTGGTTGGGCACTGGAGCAGGCTCCCCAGGGCAGTGGTCACAGCATCAGCCTGACACGTTCAAGAAGTGTTTGGACAATGCTCTTGGGCACATGGTGTGATTCTTCTTTGGATGCTTCAGGTACTTCTCTTGCATGAGGAAAGGACATTTGAGACCTGCAGTTCTCTTTTGGTCACATTGCATCATGGTCAACCTAGGCATGTCCTGTATGCTGCCCCATAAACCAAAACCAGTATTTAGATCTCTCTGTCAAAGATTTAGTTATGTACCATCCCTGGGTAAACTCACAGCACTGCAGTCACTGTCCTCTCTGTGTGATGCAAAAGAGGCTTGAAGTCTTGGAAACTGTAAGAGAGAGCATTGGAACTGGATGCTCCTGACCACAGGAAATTGTTGTTATTAACTTGTGTCTGGAGTCAGCTTCATGCAAGGAAGCAAGAGTTTCACACTTCTGGAAGGCCTGGTTCTGGCTAGCCTGAGGAAACAGAGACAACAGAGGAGACTTCTGGGCAAGAGGTAAAGGCCAGAATTGCTGCTTTATGAGGGTCATGCTGAGAGCAGTCACATCATAAATACATACTGGCAGTAAACTTGCCAGTGGTGTTGGCAGAGAGGAAGACATGGTGACGATGCTCATGGCAAAACAGCCATCCCAGTGCATAGAGGAGAGCAGCACAGTTGTAGTTGTTGTAGTTGTACTTGTAGGATTCACCTGCCAATGCTGAGGAGAACCAGGCTGCATCAGAGTGCTCTGCTCGTGTCCTCTGCCCTTGGCAGTGGCTGGGGCTGCAGAATGTGTTACTAAATGTGGGAACTGCCAGACAATCTGGCAGAGCTGTATTTGCAGCTCCCCACACACAGCAAGCAACTCTCTCCTATGGCTCACCTGCCTGGTGAGGCCAGCAGGGATGACAGACTTCTGAAAAGCTCTCTGCACAGAGGTCCTGTGTCCTACTGCTGCTCACTGTTAGCTCTCACAGCTATTGTATGAGAAAATGTGTTCCCTAAGCAGGAACCACTAAGGCAACCACTCCTCACCACCCCTGTCCTTTTCATCCACCAATCCAACTGCACACACCAGTGCTCCTGGACAGAGCTCTGCTTGTGTGAGCACTCCCTGTCCAGCTGAGAAGGACACCTTGCTCACTGTCTTTGTCCAACGCGTGCTCATGCTGGCCATGTAACATCTGGCATGACCACATGTGACAGCATGTGACTATGGGTTGTGTCTTTGCATGCCTGCCCAGAATCCCTTCCTTCTGCTGTCCAGCCCAGCAGCTGGCAGGCACCCTGGCTGCAAACACATGCTGTCTTCAGGTCCACTGGCCTCCTGGCCATGGACTTGAGGCAGGTCAGCAGACACTGGAAGGTGCTCTTGAGGAGAAACACTCTGCTTCTGCACGTCCCACAGGCAGTTGACTGAGGCCCCCCCATTGTCACATAGATGGTTTGTATTTTTAAATGCCTGTGGTACTTAACTGTGACATGGGGACAGGCAGAGAGAGAGAAGGCCACAAAAGCCTGCTGCGACACATTTGGAGATCCCAACAGCAGAGCGTGGCCAGTGTGCATTCAAGTAGGGCCCCTGTGAGCCCTTCCCTCACCAGCCTCCCCAGTCCCAGTTTATTTGTGAGAGAACCTGTAGATACACTGCAGATGAGCCACACCATGAATAATAATTAGGCAGTAATGGGATGGGACTTTGGGGTACGGTCAGTGTGTCACCATGAAAATATGGAGGAGCTGTTTGTGACTCAAAGGACAGCTAAATCTGAGCAGGTACTTGCCCTTCTTCTCAGGGAAGGTCAAGTGTAAATGCTCCCTGGCTCTGACAAAGATGTATATGCTGCTTGAAGGACCCATTTGAGACCAATTTTAGAAAAAGTATGTCTTCCCTGAGCAGGGTTATTTCCACCACGACTTTCATCTCTTCACATCTCTTCATCATGATGAAAAAGTTATTTAAAAAACCCTAAAGCATTTTTACCTTTATGCAACATTTCCCCCCCATCCCACTGTTCTCACACTTAAACCAGCAAAAACATTCTTGCTCAAGCTTTCCAGAAACAATTTCACCTTTGGGCAGAGAATAAGCACATAAATTCTGAACCCAGAAAAACAGAAATTTCAGGCTGTTCTGACTAAAAGAGTAGGAAAGCTCAGGAGACTAGAATGGAAACAGTGTTGTGCAACAGAAATTACAGTCTGCTGCTTCTTGCAGTATAACTCTTACTTGACTTTCATTTGGTTTTCAAACAAATTGAAGTTCCTTGAGGATACTGACAGTAATAGACAACAGGCCTTTAAAAATGGCTAACTCCAAGAAAATACACAGGTATCACTTTTGCAGCCTGCAACTCCTTACCTGCAGAGCTTAAATACTACATCTAGGAATAGAGTTTTAGGCATTTGAGAAATTTTAAGGTCATATAGTAGTCTTTTGCAGACTTCTGGAGTCTTGTAAGTTGAGTGACATCTTATATGTGTTTAGGAACACTTTCTGGGTTCAGGCACTCAGATTTTTATTTTTATTCACTGCCATAGTGGCTGGAAATAAACCTAAATAAATTTTATTTAATTAAACAGATTTTCTTTCTTGCAATAGGCATGTTCTAGGAACTGCACTATATATTATCAGTTTTCTACTTTTACTTTTTCTTTATTGACTACTACAGAAACTGATTAGATCAGATGATGTAATTCTAAGATATCTGAGATGTTTGAAATGGCTATGGAAGCCTTTATCTTTAATGTTCTATGACATGCCAAAAAATTTGGAAAGTTCTCAGCTTGCACATTATTTACTGGTATCTTTCCACTTTGTAACTTGGATCAGTGAGATTGCATCTATATTAGATAGCTCTATTTGTCACTAATCCATTATCCTAGCCTTGCCATCATGGTACACAGGTATTATTATTATTTTTTTTTTTAATCTACTGCACTCAGTACAATTTGTGACAATCAGTGCATGGCAAATAATCTTTCACATTGAGCAAAGAGAAACCTGATGGTATTCAACACTTATTCCTGTTCGGTGCATTTTGTCTCTTAGCTGTATTTATATATAATATTTATCAGTTATACAGTGGTATTTATAAATATTTTCTATTTTTACATGTCTGATTTCCATTTTGCTATCCATGTGCATTGCAGATATTTTAATTCATCAAAGGCTTTTATCCTCTCTCCTCTGGTTGCAAGTCAGAATGCATTTCCATACTACATTTTTTCCAGAGGCAAAATTGATCTGGACAGTTCTCTTCCTTCCCTATGCCACTTGTTCCTGCTGCCACATCAATCTTCTGCAATGCTTTTTGTGCAAATGCAGCCATCTGTGGGGCAATACTGTAGGACAGATCAGTAAAATCAGGGATGCTAAAAATAAAGTCTCCAGGAAAAAAATAAATTGGCAAGACAGCTGAGCTGGAAAACATAGGAGAGTGGTGAATCTTCCAACAACGGGTGTTCTTCAGAACAAGATGAAAGCAAGATCAAGGACACAAATGTGCGTGTCAAAAGGGGAAGGGTTGAGGACAGGTTTTTCCCTAAAATGACGGGCTGGAGACCAGATGATGACAGAGCCTGCAGGAAACATGAAAATACCTAACAAAAAAATAGAGTTTGACTTTGCCAATTTCATATTGAAGATGATGGTTGAATATTCAGATAAAAGATTTCAAAGGGAGACTCAGTTGTGGGATCAGAGACATGAAAACATTTACCCATCATATTTGATACTCTTCCAATATGACTTGAAAGAAAAGACCACCAACACATGAAATGCTGGCCCGAGGTGCTGATTTTACACTACCATATGAGACAACAGTGTTTCATATGTAAATATTGAAATTACACTGAGGCCAGCAGTCCAGATAAGCAGAGATGATGGGAAGGATACACAAAATTGAGATGTAGTTGTCTATCTCATACCCTTTTCTCCATTCCTTACCACCAAGAAGAAAAGCACTTTCCTTCCTCAGCCCTCTGTGCTCACCTGTCTTCATGTTGATATGATTTTTACCCTTCCATGTTTGGCAGCATGTTGTGTGTGCTTATGCCTCCTTAGAACACACCAGATGCTTTGCTGGGAGGGCAGTATTTTTGTATTGTGATATAGTACTTTGTACTTTTCTGCCAGCAACTGAATTAAATATTTACAAAGGTTAAATCCTAGATGTTCTTCAAAAAGTGTTTTGGAAAGACAGGCTAGTTAGCATTCTTAAACCTTGTATGCCTCACCAAATGCAGAGTGCATAAGGTACTTCCTCTCTGCTCAAGAGTTTGAGCAGCCCCTGCTTTTCCTTAATACCTCTTTGCCATCCTGTTCTATAATAATAAGTTAGCAAACAAGCAAACAAATGTATCTTCCTCACATACCAAAATAAACAACTGCCAGTTTTGGTGTACAGCTTGTGCAGAAAAGAGTTTCTTTAAATAAACAACTGCCAGTTTTGGTGTACAGAGAGCTTGTGGTGTTCAGCTTGTGCAGAAAAGAGTTTTTTCCTTCCCTATGCTTAGTGTGTTTTGTTAATTGACTATTTTGAATACTTCTGACGAAAAGCACCTACTTGGCTGCAGGCTCTCTACCACCAAGCTCTCAGCAGGGTGGCTGGCTGGAGGTTTGCTTTGTCCCTCATCAGCTTCAAGGAGAAACAAACCATCTCACCACCACAGTGACTGCTCAGTGTCCCAGTGCAGAATTTTAAAACACCAGGGTTCTGCTCCCCTCCTATTCTCCAGCATTAGCCAAGATATTTCAGAACATTTGTACTGATTTGCTGAATCCCTCTGGACATTTAGAAAGTAATATATTACTGAACTGCTTTGCTGGCTGCTTTTTGTTTTATTGGTAGCTGCACATTTGAGCTGGTAAAAGGGTTTGCTGTTGCAAAATTTGTTCACTAACCTACCATGCTATTCTATCTGTTAATAATTTTTTTTCTGTCTTCATTTTCTACCCCTCACGCACCTCCATTCTTGTATTTTTCTCATTTTATGAGCTAATTCCCTTTCTCTAATTTCCTTTTTCTGTATCAAATCCCATACATAACAAAGCATCCAAGATTTTACTCTGCAAGTTGTTGTATGTAATAAACTTCAGTATATCTTATCCAGCTGAACACAATGGCACCACTCACACGCCCTAAGTGACACGTACATGTTTGCAGTACTGGAGCCTGAGCAACTCACCTAGCCACTGGCTTTTACAAGCCAAGAGGGAACTACCGTGGTTTGCACACAACATGCCAAAATTCCAGTATAATCTCGTTGGTGTTACCCTTATTTTCCACTTCCCCTCCCTGTTTGTTGTAACTGCCTATTCTGTCATTTCAGATTAAGTATCTCATCACGGAGCCACTTGTATTTACTTTTAATTTGATGTACTGGAAGTAGTGCTATTGACTTAAACGGAACTATGCACATAAATAAAGGTAAGTATACGTGCAAGCCTTTCACTGATGGTACATTGCAAATCCCACAGGAAAAACATGGTACATTTTATTCATTTTACTATCTTTGCACATGTTAATGCAGGCTGGGTGATTAATAACTTCTTCCAGAGTAAGTTTTCAGGTTTCATACCAGCTTAATGGAAGAACCACTAGTCATAAGCACAGGATCAGCTCCAGTTCCACAGAATTCTGAGACGACAGTGTGAATGATTAACTAGGGGTTTAAAAAAGCACACTATTGAAATCCAATGTAATAATAATGTAGGCAGAGGATTCTGAACATGCCAGAGGGGATTGTGGCCAGGAGTGGAGGTCAGGAGCAGCGAGCCGGCTGGGGGAGAGGGCGGTAGCTACGACAGGGCTGCAGAGGGAGGGAATCCCGCGGAAGACCGCATGAAGGTCGGTGGCAAAAGGAGACGGAGGACCCGAGCTCAGGGCCGGGTGAGCGATGCAGGCGGGCCGGAGGCTGACCGCAGCCAAATGCACAACAGGGCCATGCCGCCAGGAAGGGATGGGCGCCTGGGGGCAAATTCTGAGGCGGCTGTTGTTTCAGATGGCAAAGGGGGCAAAAAGAAGGTAAATGTTGCAGCACGGAAACCGGGTTTTGTCATTTTGGCAAGTGAATCAGCGCTCAGCAGCACGACCTATCGAAACGCCCCAATGATTCATTCTTCGCCTCGCACTTTTGCATTTCCATGGGTGTGAAGCCCACATGCATATAACGCTGTACCTTGTGCTGCAGCTGGCAGCGCTGCGGCGTCCCCCGCCGCGGGGGCAGAGACGCCGCGCCCACCCCGCGGGCTCCGAGCATCGCCCGCCCCGGCCCCGCGTCGCCCCGCCCCGCCCCGGCCGGGCGGTGCCGCCCCCTCCGTTCCTGACTCGCACTCACTCACACACACACATAGACACACACACAGACACACGCACGGAGGCGCTTCCTGCGCGGCGCCGGGCTCGGGCGGGCGGAGCAGCGCCGCTTCCTCCCGCCGGCTCTCAGGTACCGGGGGTGGCTCCGCGGCGGGGCGGGGGGCGCCGAGGGGCCCGGCGGTGGCGGCGTGCCCC